GCTGACTCCTGACTCCACTGAAAACAACTGGGACTCCAACAAGAACCAGCTCCCAGGAGAACTCGTTGCAAACATGGGTTATTTCTCAGTTTTCACAGACCACTAGTGAGGCAGAGAAGCTCCCAATCTTTCCAAGAACCTTCTCTCAGGGGACTGTAATAAATATGGCCCTATCGAAGCTTCAGGAGTAGTCCAGACTCACCTAGGCCATTTCCTCTGGCCCTCGGTTTCCCCATCTGAATATGGGGCTGAATTTGTTTGTTTGCCAGACCAGTACTGGGTGTCAGTCTGCCAACACAATATCCCACAATGCCCGTGCCAAGGTTGAAGAACTAAGTCAGGAGTGTGTCTGCCCTGACAGCGGGCTCACAGCCTGGTTCTTGCTTGCTGGTCTTTCACAGGCAAATCTCACTCAATATGTAGGACACCATCCATTTGGAGTTATGATTCCCATTTTCTAGATGAAGAACCCAAGATTTGGAGAGATCTAATAACTTGCCAGTGCTTAGCACCAAAAAAAGTCACTTTGCAAATGATGCCTGAATGAATGAATGCATGGATAAATGAATGCATGGATGAATGGATAGATGCATATATGAATGAAAGCATGGATGAATGCATGGCTGGATGGATGCATGGAAGAATGAATGCATGGATAAGTGAATGCATGAATGAATGCATAGATGGATGGATGCATGGATGAGTGAATGCATGAATGAATGCATGGATGGATGGATGCATGGATGAATGAATGCATGGATAAGTGAATGCATGGATGAATGCATGGCTGAATGGATGCATGCCTGAATGGCTGGCTGGCTGGCTGGCTGGCTGGATGGATGGATGGATGGATAACATAATGTACAAGCGGCAAAGCTGGGTTTGAAGTCAGGTCTGCCTGATTTTAAAACATGGGAACCTTTCCCTGCTCCACTGGACACTCTAGTGCCCATCTTCCACCGGCCCAGCTCAGCCCTCCTTCCAGCCTTTGGCAGGATGAGCCTCCTGCAATAGAAGCCCCTCAGGATGCTCTCTGCCATGGGCTGAGCCAACTCCTCCTACAGGACTGTGGGCAAGGGACACGGATATCCCACTTATCCCAAGAGGAACCTTGGTCAGTAGAGAAGCAAATCTGCATCCAGAACCTTTCATTTCGGAGTAAAATATTATTTGCTGAGCTCCAAGACACAAATAATTTATTTGGATAATCCCCATCTGAGTGACACTTTCCTAATGAAATGTCCTATTTTGGAGAATGAGTTCATTATGAGACGCCCCTTTGCTGCCAGGGCACCCAGAGATAACAGAATGGCCAGGTGCTTTGTGTAACCTATTTGCAGGCTTGAGGCCTCTGACACCATCTGGGCCTCATCAGCATTAGAACATCGCTGATAGATGTAATTTATGAAGCCTGTGTCGTTCCTTTGCAGAGCCACAAGCAGCCCGCGGCCTTCGTGGTCACGCAGCACCCTCTACCCAACACCGTGGCAGACTTCTGGAGGCTGGTGTTCGACTATAACTGCTCCTCCGTGGTGATGCTGAATGAGATGGACACTGCCCAGGTAGGAGGAGGCCCGGCACTGCCCTAGGTGCTCAGGTGCGTCAGGGCAGCCGTGCCCTAGAGTTGGAGGGAGAGTCCTGAGATCCAGCAGAGTGGGCCTCTGCCCCACCGAGCTGCCGTCAGATGGGCACGGGGGCTGTGAGCACCAAGCAAGCCCACTCCGCTTCTGCAGGGCACCTCCTGGCAGGCCCTGTACCCCAAGGCCCTCCATATCCCAGTATTGACTCCCACTTGTGCGGGCTTTGTCTGGCCCCGCACCGCCCAGCCTGACTCTGCTCCGTTCCCCAGGCTCTAGTTAGGGCCTTGTTCTGAGTCATACGGAGCTCACAGAGGAGACTGCCACTGCCCTCCCACCCCCCGCCCCCAGCTCTGAGGGTCTCCAGCCCTGCAGAATATCCTGGCCACAACCCCACCCTACCCCCTCCACAACGCAGCCTGTGGGACAGCCTGGGGCTTGCACCTTGGACCCTTTGCCCACTGACCTCCAAACTGAGCCCAGGCTTTGTCACAGGTGGCCCTCACGTCCAGCAGGCTTCATGCCTTGCCCCTCTGGGTCTGAGGGCTCCAAGCATCATGTGCCTACAGCACCTCTCTGAGACAGCTTCCAGAACCCACATCCCATGGCAGGGCAGCCACTCCTGGGTAGAGGCGGGGAGACTGGCCACCTCCTCTGGGGTTTTCAAAAGCAGTCCTCTCACTTCCTGAGGGAAACTCGCAGTAACGCAGTGCACCTGTGTGGGAATGAGATAAAGCTGGTCCGAGCTGTGGTCTCAGCCTCACAGTCTGGCTACAGAGACAGATGAGCAAATTGTCCCACCACACGGGGCAGCACTATAATAGAGGTCAGCGGCGAGTGCTGTGTGCGCAGGGAACGGGGAGCAATTAATTCTGCCCACAGGGTGAGGGAAGGCTTCAAAAGGAAGGTGACTGTGGCCTTGAAGGAAGGCAGCAGAGATGCGGCGTGTGGGGGATGAAGTCACTGGGAAAGGACATTCCAGGCAGAAGGAACAGCTGGGGCCAAGGCAGGGTGGGGTGAATGCGGGCAGGCTTGTCCACAGAGCAGCTCACAGCTCCTGTGCAGTGTGGCTGGGTCCCAGGGTGTGTCAGCAGGAGAAGGCGGTGATGCTAGAAAGCGCCAGGGCCCAGCTTGCAGAGGGCTGCCCATCCAGTAAGGAGCTTGGGCCTTGGCCTGCAGCAAGGTAAGTGGTGGTTGTTTTGAAGACTTTTATTTTGTATGCAACAGAATCCTTTCTTCAAATTAGAAGTTTCCATGCAAGCCCAATATCTGAAGGAGGTATGATTGAGACCTGCTAGCATTGAAGTGGGGGCAGGGGGCCTAGAGCTTCACCTACCTGGTCTTTTAGTTCCTCCAGATGCCTCTCAGAGAGTCACCTAATCTGGGTACCTTTGTGGAACCCCTGGGGTTCCTAGGAATACAGGATTGAAAATACTGTACAGGGAGGAGAGATGTTGAGAGATTGTGTAGTGGTGTGACAGAGTTCCTGTTAGAAAGCTGAGTCTGGGAACCAGTGAAGAGAAAAAAAAACAAGGAAAAATCTGGAAACTGGGAGACTGGGGCAGAGGGTGTTTCCAATGTGCAGAATTAAAGGGATTATCTGGCTGAGCAGGTGACCAGGAGATGGGAGAATAGTGGTTGGATGTGGAAACACTGCCAAAGCTGAAGTGCCCAGGTTTTGGGACCAGGTGGATGTGGAGGTGAATGAGAAATCATGGACAGGGTTCCAGTCTGGGTCATCACGCATCTGGGGATGTGACTGGCCCCAGTGGGGAAGACAGGGGAGGAGCTGGGGAGGGAGCAGGAAGGTTGGGGAGGCCAAGAGAGGCGCAGGTTACAGAAGGGAATGGAGTGTGACTTGGGTGTGCATGTGAGAGACATTCCGGACAGATTCCGCTTGTTCATTCGACCTTGTTAGCTGAATATCTGCTGTTGGCCCGACGCTGTTCTGGGTGCTGGAATGCATCCTTGAGCGAGACATAGGAAGAAAGCAGAAAACTCCCATCTCTCATGCAACTTCTATTCATTTTCTTTTCATGGAATTTTTTAAATTTTATTGTTGACAGTATTACCAATGTCTCCCATTTTCTCCCTTTTTGCCCCCCTCACCCAACCCCTGCCCCACCCCAAGCCTTTCCCATTCTATTCTGTGTCCATAGGTTATGCATGTATGGTCTTTGGTTAATCTCTTCCTGTCACCCCCCCCCCCCCCCCCACACACACACACTGAGACTTTTATTCTGTTTCCTACTTCCATACCTCTGGCCCTATTTTGTTCACCAGTTTATTATGTTCTTTAGATTCTACTTATAAGTGAGATCGTGTGATATTTGTCTTTCTCTAACTGCCTTACTTTGCTTAGCATAATACTCTCCAGGTCCCTCCATGCTCTTTCAAAGGGTAAGAGATCCTTCTCTTTTACAGCCACATCGTATTCCGTTGTGTAAATGGACCACAGCTTTTTTTTAATCCACTCTTCTACTGATGGGCACTTGGGTTGTTTCAAGATCATGGCTGTTGTAAATAACGCTGCTATAAACATAGGGGTGCATATATTCTTTTTTATTGGTACTTTGGGATTCTTAGGATATAGTCCCAGAAGTGGGATCACTGGGTCAAATGGCAATTCCATTTTTAATTTTTTGACGCAATTCCATGCTATTTTCCACAGTGACTATACCTACCAGCAGTGCACTAGGGTTCCCTTTTCTACACATCCTCTCCAGTACTTGTTTGATATATTGATGGTAGCCATTCTGGCAGGTGTGAGATGATACCTAATTGTCATTTTAATTTGCATCTCTCTCATGATTAGTGATTTTGAGCCTTTTTCATGTATCTATTGGCCATCTGTATGTCCTCTTTGAAAAAGTGTCTATTCAGGTCCTTTGCCCATTTTTTAATTGGATTGTTTGCCTCCCTAATGTTGAGGTGTATGAATTCTTTGTATATTTTGGAAATTAAACTCTTACCAGATGCATCATTGGCAAATATGTTTTCCCATACAGTAGGCTCCCTTTTCATTTTGTTGATGGATTCTTTTGCTGTGCAGAATCTTTTTAGTTTGATGTAGTCCCATTTGTTAATTTTCTCCTTTGTTTCCCTTGCCCTAGGTAATGTATCGGTGAAAATACTGCTATGAGAGATGTCTGAGATTTTCTTGCCTTGTAGGATTTTTATGGTTTCATGACTTAAATTTAAGTCTTTTATCCATTTTGAGTTTATTTTTGTGTAGCATGTAAATTGCTGGACTAGTTTCATTTTTTTTTTTTTGCATATACCTGTTCAATTTCCCCAACACTGTTTATTGAAGAGACCGTCTCTACTCCATTGTATGCTTTTACCACCTTTGTCAAATAGTAATTGGCCATATTGGCATGGATCAATTTCTGAGCTCTCTGTTCTGTTCCATAGGTCTATAGGCCTGTTCTTGGGCCAGTACCAGGCTGTTTTGATTACAATAGTTTTATAGTATAGTTTGATATCTGGTATTGTGATTCCTCCAACTTTATTCTTCTTTCTCAGTATTTCTGCAACTATCCTGGGTCTCTTTTGGTTTTATATAAATTTTTGGAATATTTGATGTAGATCTGTGAAATATTCATGCAACTTCTGTTCTAACGCAGGGGAGACAATAAACAGCACACTACAGTGTCCTTAATTGCATGTTAGAAGGTACATGGATGGGAAAAGAAAAATGAGAGGGTAACGAAGATCAGAAGGCTAGTCTGAAGCACAGGATGCCGCTGTGATAGTGACCAAGGTGCACCCTATGGAGAAGTTCATTCGAGGGGAGGTTTGGAGGAGTGAGAGGACGAGCCACATGAGCATCTCAGGAAGAGCATTCCAGGCTGAGGGCCAGCCCACACCAAGGCCTATGGGGGGCATGGCCTGGCCCATTTGAGGAACAGTTTAGAGGCCACTGAGACTAGAGCAGAGTGAGCATGGGCACAGCTGCAGCAGGTGACACAGAGACACAGCAGAACGAGGTCACGGAAGGGCTGGGGAGGCTCCTAGGGAGAATTTTGGGTTTTACTTGGAGAGAAATGAAGAGCCACTGACAGGTTTTGCAGAAAGAAGTGACTTGAAAAAGTAACTCAACATTTTTTAAAAAGCAACCCTCTGGCTGCTGTGTTGAGAATAGACTTTTGGTGTGGGGAGGGGGAGGGTGGCTGCTAAGAGTGGAAGCAGAGAGAACAGAGAGGGACTTCGGCAATAGTCCAGGTGACAGGAGATGGTGGCCTCAACCTCCTTGGTAGCAATGGAGTGGGTTCTAGGTATATAAGATAGATCCAACAAAATATGGAAGTTGAGAGAAAAATGGATGACTCCAAGGGTTGGGCCCAAACAACAGATGTTTGGAATTTGAGATAACCATGAAATTAAACCAATTTCCATAAAACAAAGACCCTTGCAGAGTTCCAGAGTCAGAAGGTATCACTGCCAGGTTCCTTTGCCTGAAAAAGTAAAACAGTGAGTGAACGCTCCTGCATGAGCCCATGAGCAGAGTAGAGCCAGTGAAAGCCTGTGTACTGTTCCCTTTTCCCAACATCCATTGTGTGTGTGTGTGTGTTTATTGTTGTTGTTTTATCTTTATTGTTGGAAGTAGTACAGATGTCTCATTTTTCCCCATTGACCCCTTACACAAGTGATGGCAAACCTATGACACGTGTGTCAGAGGTGACACGCGAACTCATTTTTTTGGTTGATTTTTCTTTGTTAAATGGCACTTAAATATATAAAACACATATCAAAAATATACATCTTTGTTTTACTATGGTTGCAAATATCAAAAAATTTCTATATGTGACACGGCACCAGAGTTAAGTTAGGGTTTTTCAAAATGCTGACACGCCGAGCTCAAAAGGTTCACCATCACTGCCTACACCTACACCTACAACCCACACTCTACACCCGCTGCCCCCCAGGTCTTCACCACACTATTATCTGTGTCCATAGGTTATGCATATATACATATAAGTTCT